TGCTCACCTGAGCTCCCACGATGCCGTTTCCTCCGTAGAAATGTGGCGCGTACATGTGCATCGAACCTCCTTTGCCTTTGGCCACGCCGCCCTTGCGACCTGAGGAGGAATGAAGAGGAGGAGTGAAGGCACTGCATCAATTCATCAGCACAGTTTAGATTTTGAAACCGCTCTCTCACCCGTGAGTTCGGCCAGGATCTCTTTGACGGACACGCCGCGGGTGTACGTGTATCCGTGGGCGCGGTAGGCGGTGATCAGGTGATCGGAGGGGTTGATGGCGGCCTCGATGCCTGCTGCACAAGCTTCCTGTAGGAGGAGACAAACCTTAGAATGAGCAGGTTTCAATTTAAACATGTTATTTGTAGTTCTTATTAGTGTTTTATAACCACATTTGCTCTGTTGTGTGTTCTTAAGCTGCTTTTATGAGAGACAATAAAACTATACTCAAGAGACTGTTCAGGTAATAAAAGTTTGTATAAATATATTCAAATACAGGTAAACGTTCTGTGATTCTCATGTCGAGAGCTGCAATCTGTCCATCCTCACCTGTCCGTCGTACAGGTGACAGAAACCTCTGATGATCTTCTGTTTGTACAGCTGATCGGCTTTGAGCTCCATGCGCCTCACCGTCTGCATGATGCGGTAATACTGCAGGCCCTGCTCCCGAGTCAGCTCGGCCTTCAGCGGAGGACCCTCCTCCAGGCGGTGCACGTCGCATTTCTACCGGACAGAAATGATCAGTTAACGGCAGTTCGATGGAACAAAAATATATTCTGTGCAGGTTTTACGTTTCCTCTCTTCTACTTTTCTAGATTTTTGGTTTGACCCACCTTGATGTCAAAGGTCGCCTGAGGGGTGAAGTCAGCGAAGGAGCGGGAAACCACAACTCTGGCACCCTGGTGACCAAAAAACACAAACATGGGTTAATTAAAAAACACACGGCACACAATTACTGACAAACAATAAGGAGTCTTCCACACGGACATCACGAGGGCTGCCCTCTCCTCCGCAGATAGAGGGCCTACAGGTGTCGGGGGGGGGG